GGCAGAAGAGGGGGGGATGGCGTGGGGGCATGCATGCGCGGGTGGGGGTGCCATTTTGGAAGGCCCCATGGCGCCTGGGCAGCTGCTGTGGGGCCTTCCAAAGGCCCCACTGCGCCTGACGCAGCTGCCGCGGGGCCTTCCAAAGGCCCCCTCATGCCTGCGCAGCCGCCGTGGGGCCTTGGCAAGGCCCCCTCGCACCTGCAAAGCTGCCGTGGGGCCTTGGCAAGGCCTCCCCGCGCCTCTGCAGGCACAGGGGTGCCTTCCCAAGGCCCCACCACACCTGACGCAGCCACCGCGGGGCCTTGGTAAGGCCCCCTCGCACCTGCAAAGCCGCCACAGGGCCTTGGCAAGGCCCCCTCACACCTGCACAGCCACCATGGGGCCTTGGCAAGGCCTCCCCATGCCTCCGCAGGCACAGGGGCTCTTCCCAAGGCCTCCGCAGGTTGCACCCGGCCTGCGGGCCGGGGTTTGCCAACCCCTGGTGTAGAGGGTTACCCTCCCCATACATGCCCCATAATGTCCCCCTCCCCATTTAAAACCATTTTTTCTCTCCATGGATCTGCAATGCCTTTAATGGCTGCAGGAGATGTAAATATTCAGCAGGGCCAGTGTTTGCAAGAATGGGGGATTTCACCACATTTGAGATCCTGCGTGGGGCATTTAAAATTACTTATGCTCGTAAATTCAATAATAATTAAAACTCAATTTTAAGTAATCCTACAATTTTCTCCTGTACCATTTTTAATATCTTTGCCTGATGAAGAACCTAGTAAAGTTTTGAAAACTTGCATTATGCATTTTGTGCATTTTGGTTGGCCAGTAAAGCTACTGGACTTTTGTAGATTTTGTTGTATTAGATAATGTGCTACATCTAAACATCCACTTTTATAGTTGGAGTCAGTGAGGGTTGCTGCGTTAATGTAGGAAAACTGCTTTGTATGCCAAAGTGTCTGTGAGTATACTCAGGGTTGGTCAGTGCATTGCCGATACTCAGGACCTTATCACTCCGCTCAAATAAGCCAGCTTACTTCTTCCAAATTGACGTCTAATTTGGGAGGCAGCTGGGTCCTATTGCAAGGATTTTGCCTCCAAAGCTGCCAGGCAAGTCTAGCCCAGCTGCAGCTAGGGTCCCAGGCATGAGCCGTGAGCTTTCCGACTCCAAAAAATGGCCACTGAAGCATGCTGGGGACCCAGTTTGCAGCCAGGCTGGACTCGCCCAATGGCTTCAGCAGCAAAATCCTTGTGATAGAACCCGGCTGCCTCCCAAATTAGACTTCATTTGGAAGAGGTAAGTTGGGTTATTTGAGCGGTGCGATAAGGTCCTTAAACCAAACTGGTGCTTCTGTACTCTACTATGTTCGCTATGTCTGAGAGTTTACCTTTGTAAGTTGGCATTTCTGGTGGGCCAAAGGTTTTGTTTTTTGTTACTGAACATCAAGCAGGACAGAAAAGAGCCAACAGTTTGCTTGCTATGATACTACAGGCTACAGTTTAAAAATAACTAATAAGTCCAATTTGATAACAAGCTACCAGTCTGAAAACTGGGATGGGCTCTTGTCCCTTTAATAATGGTTGTGCAGAAGTGGGAAGTTGAGCAGCTGTGGTTAGTCACCTGGTTGCATGACATGCAACACCTGCTCCATTTCCCTCTTCTACACAACTATTAAATGTACAGGAACTGTCTTTAGCTTTTACTTTGGCAACCCTACTACCCAGTGAATTTACATTTGCAGGTGGCAGAGATATTAATGATGATGTTACTTTGTTTTCACCCTACAGTCATTCTTGTCAAGTAGTAAAGTGTGTCAGCTACACCCTCCTCCTGGATGAATATTCCAGCCAACTCAAGCAAACAAGGGTTTAAGGCAGCTCATCACAAACCTTGTAATTAGATTAGAACAGATGGTTTATTTAAAAACACAGTGAAGTCAGCAATTATTTCACTTTGCTTCCTGAGATCTGGGGGGGGGGGATGTTCACAATCATTTCCTTAAGTTTTGCTTCCATTCTTGCACACACACATACTGTGATATTCCTTTCCATAGGTTCACCTCACCTGCATTCACCACATTTTTCTGGTTTTTGTAGCTCCCTACAGTATGCAAAGTCTTCTTGTGCTAATACCAACCCAGAGGATGGCTGCTATTTTACCAGGTGCAGCTGCCACATGGACAAGGTTTTAAATTGCTGCATATCCTAGCTATTATCACAAAAGAAGTCATTTACCATGCAGGTCAAGCTTTTCCCTGCCCCCCAAAAGGCCACTGCCAATGTCTAAAAATGAATGTTTGAGGAGGTAAAGGAGGGGAAAATTGCTCAAATAGTAGGTTGGGCTACCAGAGCTTAAGAATTATTTTCCCCTTTCACCAGACTGCTGATTTAAGCTGTTAAGTAAAGCAGTAGTCACATGTGTTTCATATCCAAAAATTATTTAACTATATGGTGTATGTCAGCATGATCAATGTGCTTTAGCACAGTTATCTCTTAGCTCACTTATGTCCCCCTGCCTGATTCTGAGGCCCCTGGAGCTCCCAAGATTTCCTCACTCTTTGTTTCATTAACAAAGAAAACTGAGGTCCTCCACTCCGGGATGTGGTGGCTTAATGGTTCAGATGCTAATTCTGATGATTGTGAGATCAGAAGGATGTCAGTTTGAGGCCCAAGAACCACATGACGGAGTGAGCTCCCATCACTAGTCCCGGCTTCTGCCAACCTAGCAGTTCAAAAGCATGCAAATGCAAGTAGATAAATAGGTACCACTTCAGTGGGAAGGTAACAGCGTTCTGTAGAGTCATGCTGTCCACATGACCACTGGAGTCATCTTTGGACAATGCTGGCTCTTCGGCTTAGTAACAGAGATGAGCACTGCCCCCTACTGTCAGTTACAACTAGACATTCATGTCAAGGGGAAATCTTTACCTTTAAGCTTCCAGGAAATGTAATTTCCCCTTGAAATAATGTGCAGACACACACACACACACCACACAATCCAGGATCAAATGTCCCAAAGTGAGTAGACTTCCAGTTTTAGGGAAGTGTGGCCCATGGACAGTAGATGGGATTTGGCTCCCACAACTAGGAGCTCTGAGACTTCAGGTCCAAACATAAGGCCTCAACCCTTTATGACACCCTATGATATTAAATGGTAATGTCATTGATCTTAATACTTTTAAGCATCAACCACAGTTGCACAGGGCATGCCATTTAAAGTGAAACCACCAAGTCTAATAAATGAGCCAAACAGATATATAAACACCATTTTCAAAATAGTGCTCTTGCCCTGAAATTCCTCCTTCTCACCCTGAGGACTGGAGAAACAGGTAGAGGTTATGAAGTTCAGGATGAGACCACTAGATCATGCCCATTCCTGACCTAAAACCAATAAAGCTGTTATCCACATGTATTAAGATTGTCAGGCAATGTGTTGAAGAGACTGTGAGAGAATGTGTGATGGAAAACTTTCTAAGAATAGCAGTTGGCCCAATGAGCCTCCACTATCCCCAGAACACCAATCCTAGTAGTCAGTGTGTATAATTGTTAGTGTTGGAAGGACTTGGTCAGTCCAGGATCAAATGTCATTATGTTACTGGATGAGAACTATAATATGTACGAAAGGAGTGTATAATAATTCATACTATTATATTGCCAATTTCATAACATTGGGACCATCTCAAATCTTATTTATCTCCTTTCCTGCAAGGAGCTCAAATCAGTACACAAGAAGTTTCCCCTATTTTATCTGATTAAGAATTCAGTGGTTCCTGGCTAGCTGGATATTAAAACCCATATTCTTCTAGTCCAAAGCCTATACCTTTGTCAGTCTATTGTTAATTTAAACCTTTAGTTGGCTCTGCCTGCAACAAAAGAAATATGTGTACAGTGGAGTTTTTGTTCTGGATTCAAAAAAATCAGCAAATCAATTGTGGACACACACTATAAGGCTTGAAACCTTTCCATTAATTCCAGCTAGAGGAGACCCATTAAATCAATTGTTGACTAATAAGTCAACACAAAGATAAATCCAAATCCAATTGATTCAATGGCTTCACTCTGTTTAGGACTAATAATAGGCATTAAGGTCAAGAACTGGATACTGAATTTTGTGTTAGAAGAGATTCAAGAGCCACTGAAGTAACACGTCATTACATACTAAGGCAAGTCCTACTGCTTTGCAAGATATTATTTTTGCTGATGGAGAACACATTATACAGATCTAGGAAGAGGGATCATCTCATCTTTCACTCAAGTGGTGTAGTGGTTTGAAAGTTGGATTACAATTCTGGAGACCAGGGTTCAAATCCCTGCTCAGCCATGAAAACCCATTGGGTGACCTCAGATGAGTCACACTCTCTCAGCCTCTGAGGAAGGCAAAGGCAAACCTCCTCTGAACAGATCTTGCCAAGACCACCGGATAGGTTCATTTTAGGATTGCCATAAGTCAGATATGCCTTGAAAGCGCACAATAACCAGAAATCACAATGTCTTGGGCCAGCCTTGTTTCCATCATTCTGTGAGTACTACAACTTTACTCCTTAGTGTCAAAGTCATCATGACCTGAAGAGTTTTCCTTCGCTATCTCTTCAGACCTATAGTTTTCACACATTCCACAAGTTTTGACAGTCAAAATGAATATGCAAGCAATGCCCCACAGTAATGCTTCCAGAATTCTTGAACTGCCAGCCTGTTGTGATAGCTCCTGGCAAATTTTTATTCAGTCAGCTCACAATTAAATTTCTATGCACAGACAGCAAAAATTGTGAGTCTTGTCATTTCACATTTTTAGAAAAGAGGCACAGACTGTTTGGTGGTAATGTATTCACTCTAATGCTATTGTCCTTTGGCACAGTTTATGCATTTACTGGTTTTCTTCCAATGTGTGAACAGCTGCTTGAAGCACAGAATCTATCTAAGTAACAAATGCATTTAAAGCTTTCATTTGTCTGCTAGTGAACTCAGTGCAGCACTGGATAAATTATTCCAGTCCCTCCTGCAATGGAAACTTCATTTTCATAACCACTTTAATCCAAACTCTTATTCAATAAATTCAATGTGTGTCCTGCATGATAGATGCTTTTTAAAAAGCCACAAACAATACAAGAACCAGTTACAACAGAGCCAATTGCCTTATTCAAATATAGCTCCAAATTACTGTTTAGCGTTACAAGAACAGATCTGAGTGAGGCTTCCATGTACATGCCTTGCCAGTCTTATCCTCTTCTCACCAAGTCATAAGTAATAATAATAATAATAATAATAATAATAATAATAATAATAATAATAATAAATAATTTTTATTTGATATCCCGCCCCTCTGGGATCAATCGGGGCGGCTTACATCATAAAAACATCATACATCAGACTAAGAACAGTTCCCCCCCCTTAAAAAGTTATTAAACCAACACATATTAAAAACAACATACAAAGAAGGTAAATACCTCCACATAAAATAAGTACACATTATAAGGAAAAGATCAGATGTGTTTGCTACCTTTTTAAACTAGCTATTTAATTATTGTATCCAAACTTGGTTATAAAGGTAAAATTACCATTCATGATGGTTTACAGAAGTGACTTATCGATCACACACATTCCTTCTCTTTCATGGCTGGGAGAGGGGGAATTCAGAGGGAGGGGATTTCCAACCAGTCTGAGGGCCACATTCCATATGATTCCCTTGTTTACTGGAATAAGCCAATTTCCTATACCATAGTTATGAGTGACCACAGTTTAAAATGCAAACATAATACTAAACAGTTGAAAATGAAATAAAGTTCTCTCCATGACACCCTCACAGCTACACTGGAGGTGGAGAGTGTGTACAAAAACCCAAGGCTGTCCTTGGCTCATTTGTGTAATGTTAAATCATAGTTTGCCATTATTTGAACACAGATCACCTCAATGGAAGAGACTGGTTCTCTTATGGGCTTGTTACATTTAAGTTATGTTTTCTCCATCTCATTTTTCTGACCAACAGGAAGTTACATCAGGGGTGGCCTTCACAGGGCTAGGTTTGTTTTGAGATTTATAGTACCTTTTGTACATCTCTATGTAGAAACAAAACCAGGTGTTAATATAAAACATGTGTCTGCTGCCCAGGATGACCACTCATTTTGACTTTGCTTCCCTTCTTTCCATTTTGTGTTATGAATGTGATTTATTATCATAGCAGAATTCCGTAGTTCTTCATCTGCTGTCTCTAGATGCTGCTAACTGGTAGATGTAGAGCATAATGCCATTGGTAAATTTCATTGCACTTTAAAGGAAGAATTCAACATCACACTGCTTTTCTCAGTGGCAGGCTTGTACTTGTCATTCATTTCATTCCACCCTTTGACCCTATCAAGGATGTTAGTGCCATTCAGCTACTGTAGGTCACCGCTAATGCAACACTGTTTCGTTCTGGCCTGCTGGTGAATGGCTTTGCAAGCTCAGAGTGATTGCTTTCTACACATATACAAAACACACACTCACTGTCTTAGAACAAAAGTGATTCTTTTAGTTACATTCAGGACCGGGCAGGTTCAAGAGATTTTGCTACTTGAATCAAAGGACAAAATTGCAACTTCCTCCTTTCTCTCTCCTTTCCATACATCTAAGATGGACAAAGTGGAGCCCTCCAGATGTTTTTGGACTGCAACTTTCAGCATCCTTAGCCTGAATAGCCAATGGTAAAGAGTGTCTGAAGTTTCAGTCCAACATCTACAAGGCTGCCCTTTACCCATCCTTGCCAGATACAAAAGATGACTCATTTGGCAGTTGCATCTTACCCAACACCGGTGACACTACAGCATCCTTTGCTGCACCTTAAGGCAGCACAGTAGCTTAGTAGGTGCAGGATATTCTGCAAAGCATACTCAACTCTATCATCTAAAATGCTACCACCTCTCTGCACTTCCCCCAACAACTGCTGTCTCACTCTGTCTATTAATAGGGCCAGGCCTTCTTGACAATTACAATCACATGGATTTTCTCTAGCCTTACTTACTATGTGTTTGTGGATATATCAAGTTGGTGTAGCACTTGGATACCATCTTAATATGCAACTCAGGGGGGAAGCAGACTGGCGGCACGGGGCTGTCGTGGGAAGGTGCGCCGCGGGACCACGCCTCGATCCTGCGGTGCACCTTCGCTGCCCCTGAAAGGAGTGCTAAAATAGCGCTCCTTTCACAAGTCAGCGAAAGTGCGCCGCAAAAGTTTGCGGCGCACTTTCGCTGACTTTTCCGCCGCAGCGTGTCCAGACGCTGCGGTGGGAGGTTGCCCTCAGAGTGCCAGCCGTGCGGAGGGCCGGCGGCTCCGAGGGCAACCTCGGGAGGAGGAAGGGGCGCCAAGCGTGCAGCTGCCCCTCCTCTTCCTTGCCTCGAGGACAGCTCTATTAGCTGTCTGCCGAGGCCCTCAATATTTTCCCACTCCTAAAAAAAAATTCAACCAGACTAAACCTTGTGTCTATAAAGAGCCATTGCCCAGACAAGCCCATTTTTATCCTTCAGTTTGGCTTTTACTTTTCCTTCTTTTCTTCTGTATAAAATGAGTTAACATAGCTCTTCCTTTCAGATTCAAAGACTACAAGTTGTAGTGACGCTACATTCACATGTGGGATGAGTGAAAAACAGGTGTGAAACATCAGCAAAAACAGAAATTTGAGCCTGCAAAGAGGGGAGAGGAATGTCAATCATTTATTCTGCAAGAAAGCAACAGCCAGCTTGCAAGTCATGACTGCCCCCTGCAGATGCTTGAAAGTCTAGTTCACATCCTAGTTTATCAGAGGAATCTTTGTTTTGCAGCCTATTTGATGATGGTTCCCTTCATTTCTATTGCTGGCATTAACCAGATGGAATGGTTTTTCAGCATGGTCCCAAAAAAGAATCACACCACCACCATCATCACTGCCATCACCACTATCATCATATTGTTCTGCAAACTTTCCTTCTTACAAAAATCCAAGTAGTTAGTTGTGGCTGGAGTTTACAACTGTGAGTGCTTGGGAATGGATACGGGTGTAAAAAAATCTATCCATTCCATTTTCACTTCAGATCTGGGACAGTCAATCAGGAAAGAAAGGATGTGTTGATGGGCAGCGGATGGTTTATTGGCATGATAGATTACTGCTGTTTTTTATAGGAAGAACTGAAATACCAACCCAGTTCCTTCTCGTGATTTTCCTTCTTTATTTCTTTAGTTCATCATGGGCCAAGTAAGGCAGATGCTGGGTGGGGGTAGGGGCAATAATAAAAGTTCTGTGGCTGTTCCTATCTGTTGGAGGGAATATCTGTTGGAAGGAATATGTTGGAAGCAGTTTATCTTGCACATCTAACCTGCTGTCTTCAGGTGTCATGGAGTACAGTGCCCTATCATTAGCATCAGAGTAAGCTTCTGAAATGACCATTCAGTTTGCTTCTGTAGGTGGAATGGGAAGAAGGTGTACCATCTTAACCTTCACCTTTAGATACAAAATGATCTTAGGATGTCCCTGAGCTCATCAGACATTTTCTCTCTGGGTTTTAGAAGAACCTTAGCCAAATTTTTCAGAAGATATTCCAGGTGCTAAACTCTACTCACAAAATAGACTCAGCACCTTGGATAGCTCACATAAGTTTGTAGATGTACAGCATAACAGCTCTGAATTTTGCTGTTTCTATTATTCAGACTATGGGTGCTAATATTTGTCCACTTTGTTGTAATTTCTTTTGCAATTGTTTTGGGGTTTTTTAAAAAAAAATAGCCAAGAAATGTTACATGCATAATTAATATTGTTCATATTGCAGATGGGTACACAACAGATGATATTGAGTTCTACTGGAATGGAGGTGAATCTGCTGTGAGTGGAGTTAGTAAGATTGAGCTTCCTCAGTTCTCAATTATCGATTACAGGATGATTTCAAAAAGAGTTGAGTTTGCAACAGGTAAGCACTGAAGCATCCGCAGAACATCCCTTTGAAATAACAAAAAATAAGTATGCACATGGTGTCACTGCTGCTACTACTGCTATTGTGACTGCTGCTGCTGTTTTTGATTATTCTTATTCTTGCTGAAGTTGTTTTTGTTGTTACAGGTGCATACCCTCGACTATCACTGAGTTTTCGACTTAAGAGAAATATCGGCTATTTCATTTTGCAAACCTACATGCCTTCTACTCTGATTACAATTCTATCCTGGGTATCTTTTTGGATCAACTATGATGCATCTGCTGCACGAGTTGCACTAGGTAATTTTTTTCTGGACAATGGTGCTACGTAAATGTCACAAGCATTTTCACCAGCAGATTTTGCCCATCCTTTAGTGCTCTCCCTCACATCATCCCTGAAACAGAAACAT